TTATTCTGCGCAAGCAACTTTAATTTAAGGCCACAGTTCAGAATTTGCATAAATTGCTATCTAGTAAACATATTGTGGCTCATTTACTTACTTGAGCTATTAATGCAAGTATTTATTTCTTTTTTTAATTTTAACTTATTGTGGCTCATTTACTTACCATAAGTTCTTTTAGCTTTAAAAAAAATACTACATTATCCATCGAAGAAGAATTATCAATTAATATTACTATCGAAGGACTGTATGGGTCAAAATTACATCAGAGAAATTCGGCACGCCAAGACATAAGGCCGAGGTCGGGCAGGCCGAGGTCAGACAGTCATCAACAAGGCCGAGGTCGGACAATCATCAACAAGGCCGAGGTCGGGCAGGCCAAGGTCGGACAGTCATCAATAAGGTCGAGGTCGGGCAGTGATGAAACAACTAGTTTGCTTTGGAATCCTCAAAAGAAATATTCTACCGAATATTCCCTCTAATTGTACCTTTTCTTTTAGGGTTTTTCTAGGAAGACCCCTTATAAATAGGAAGAGAAGACTTCTCAAAAGGGGGCTCTCCCTCTCCCTCTCTCTAGAAAATATGTAAACACACCTCTCTAAAGAGAGGGGAGGATCTGTGATCCCATACCTTCATCAGATCCAAAAAGGGTCTTAAGGTTCTTGTATTTGTCTATCATTCATCTTTATCAAATGAAAGAAGATCCGTCTCACTCAAGATTGGGTAAATCTTTTCCTTTATTTACATTTTATTGCCACTTAACATTACTTAATGCACCTTTCTTTATGCTATTAAATCTAGTCATAATCACTGAAACATTTATACTCGGCTATGTTTTTCTATTCATATTATTCATCTCGGATCTAGAGTTAATTATCCTTAACTAGGATTTACCCTCATCATCTTTTTTGATTGATTTGTTCAAAAAGGTTCCAATATCTTTTGGGTCAAACCATTTGGCGCCGTCTGTGAGAATTTTCTAGTTAAAATTTTAGTTTATTCTAGATCTAAAATTCAATTCTAGCATAGTGAATCTCTACGATGCAGACCCAAAAGTCCTTAAAGCATTTGCTAATACCAACATTTGAGCATATTGATGAAACAAAACTTTACATCAATGTGTGATTAAGTGGACGTTATGACGTTCTGGGCAAAACTTGTTCGCGGCTCCGTTTCCATAATCTATTTGCTTTGTTTCATGGTACAAGCCCAACCCTTAGAAATAGGACCAAAAGAAACAATTAAACAGAAAGAAGTAGGTGAAAACTTTCCAGCACCAGCCACGTGAAAGCATAATGAGCTAAACATGGTACAGAGTAATTAAATTGTAACACTAAGATAAACAACACCAGTGCTCCTAGCTTTGCCAATCTTTTCTCATTACCTTTTAGGATTTCCCATAAACAATTAATTGAAAATCATTTCAAGTATTTGAGCACCTTGTAAATCATGCATGTTTTGTCCGAAGCAGATGTCACTAGATTTTGTCCTATTTCAACCTAATTTTGGTATTGTTGATCCGGAGTCCAATCTCCACTACAATAACATGCTTTTCACCCAAGATTGGATTGGAAGGTCACAGACGCATACTGCATTTTCAACTTCATCATCATTAAAAAGACGACAATCACGAGGTGATGAATTTGGGAGCTGTTCGACTCTACTTCAGCGTCACCGCTTCCTTTTGGCCATTGATGCTGTTTTAGCTGAAATAGCAGTTAGCCGAATGATTGCTCCTTTCTTTCCATGTGAGGGGCATACTCGTATCGCTCAATGTAACATTCCTCCCCACTCGCCGACCGATCAAATCGAGGTAACGAATGATTTTATTTGGTTTAACTAACTATTTTTCTAAGTGGGATGGATACAAGAGCATTCTCCCAGATGCCCGAACAGGAAACGCCTCATATTCTCCAATGCAAGCAAAATTAAGCAAACTAGGACTCACCTAGGAAACACACAAAAGCAAACTGGGACTCACCCAGAAAACGCAGAAGCTAAGCGAAACTGGGACTCACCCAGGGAACACCCAATATTCTCCAATAAAAACAAAACCGAGTACGCCAGGACTCACCCCGACGTACGCACAAACAGTGCGCCTGTGAAATTTTCCAAAATCTGACAATGAAACGACGAGTTAACATTTCGACCAGCTCGAAATAACACCCCTACGACCAAGGGCCATCGCCAAAAGAGAAGAGTTCGACCTTGTTCGAACCACGACGGGTTAACATTTCGACCAGCTCGAAATAACACCCCTACGGCCAAGGTCCATCGCCAAAAGAGAAGAGTTCGACCTCGTTCGAACCACGACGGATTAACATTTCGGCCAACTCAAAATAACACCCCGACGGCTAAGGGCCATCGCCAAAAAAGAAGAGTTCGACCTCGTACGAACCACGACGGGCTAACATTTCGACCAGCTCGAAATAACACCCCTACGGCCAAGGGCCATCGCCAAAATAGAAAAGTTCGACCTCGTTCGAACCACGACGGGCTAACATTTCGACCAGCTCGAAATAACACCCCGACGGCCAAAGGCCGTCGCCAAAAAGGAAGAGTTCAACCTCGTCCGAATCAACTTCGTCCTCGTCCGAATCAACTTCGGCCTCGTCCGAACCAACTTCGGCCTCGTTCGAATCAACTTTGGCCTCGTCCGAACCAACATTTGGCCTCGTCCGAATCAACTCCGGCCTCGTCAGAATTCACATTGCGACCTCGCCCGAATTCACATTTGGCGACCGCGCCCGAATACCCATTCGGCGACCTCGTCCGAATTTACATTCGACCTCCTCGCCCGTCTAGATCCAAGGACGCGAATGACCTCCTCCGATGCCGCCATCCTTGCCAAAGCCGCTATCCTGGCCTCGACGGCCTTTTCCAACTCTACCGTATTCTCGATCGACTCATCACTCGAATCATTTGCCCTGATCAAACTCTGCTAAAGTTCAGCCCGCTGGGATACCACTTTGACCTAAAGATCAGCACCCCCAGCCGCGATCCACACTAGTCGACCTCCCCATCCGAATTTCTCGAACTACGATTAATGAAGTCCGCTCACCGAGCTCGACCAAGAGACCACCTCGATAAGCGGAGGGACTAACTGTATGGGTTAAAATTAGATTAGAGAAATTCCGCACGCGAAGACATAAGGCCGAGGTCGGACAGTCATCAACAAGGCCGAGGTCGGACAGTCATCAACAAGGCCGAGGTCGGGCAGGCCAAGGTCGGACAGTCATCAATAAGGTCGAGGTCGGACAATGATGAAACAACTAGTTTGCTTTGGAATCCTCAACAGGAATATTCTACCGAATATTCCCTCTAATTGTACCTTTTCTTTTAGGGTTTTTCTAGGAAGACCCCTGATAAATAGGAAGAGAAGACTTCCCAAAAGGGGGGGCTCTCGGGCTCTCCCTCTCCCTCTCTCTAGAAAATATGTAAACACACCTCTCTAAAGAGGGGGGAGGATCTGTGATCCTATACCTTCATCAGATCCAAAAAGAGTCCAATGGTTCTTGTATTTCTCTATCATTCATCTTTATCAAATGAAAGAAGATCCGTCTCAATCAAGATTGGGTGAATCTTTTCCTTTATTTATATTTTATTGCCACTTAACGTTACTTAATGCACCTTTCTTTGTGCTATTAAATCTAGCCATAATCACTGCCAACATTTATACTCGGCTATGTTTTTCTATTCATATTATTCATCTCGGATCTAGAGTTAATTATCGTTAACTAGGATTTACCCTCGTCATCTTCTTTGATTGATTTGTTCAAAAAAGTTCCAATATCTTTTGGGTCAAACCAAGGACATTATCCATCACGTTGAAATCTGAAAAAACATCAAATCTGTCACAAAATTCACCGCGGTAAAAATATCATAATTGTAAATTTATAGAAATCAATCCTTTGAGTTGTTAATTCCATGTTTGGCCATTCTATGCCTGAATTTCCTTGATTAAGAATTTTGAAGAATTAATTAGATCCACTGTGTCAAAGATATCTATAGACTACACACACACAAAAAACACTTAAGTAAAGTCTAAAATAATACTGTAGTAAATATTCGCTTTACAATGGTAGTGTTTGAGTACTTACACACATCACGACTATTTCATCGGGTTAACTATGTCCACCAAAGTTTAGTAGATAAAAATAATTATCTTATTTTATTTTTTTTGTCTCCTCTAAAATTTAAACCCCGATATTCTATAATTTCATCGAACTTCATTAACGTTAAGTCACATCTTTAGGTGCAAAAATGGTTGTATAAATATGAAAACCCTAACTAGAATAATTCAAACCCCTCTAAAATCTAATGTGGCATATTCGTCAAGATCCTTCAAATTTTGATACATTCACCACCACGTCAGCATACAATCAAGGCTTTGACTTGTGGATTAATCCTTGGATAATGCTAAAAAAAACTATAATTTACATTATTAAAAATACAATAATATACTTGCACCTACCAATAAAATTAAATCACCATATTATTACCAAAAAGGACTATGGTGACCTGGTAAGTACTCTTGATCAAAGGTTCAGGTTCGAGCCTTGGGAATGAGGTCGCTTATGTTATATAGCCTATTTACAGGGCCAAGTGCACAGATAACCATTCTAAGGGATGCTATTTAGGAATTAGTCAGCTCTTATTTTGTCCTGAATTTTTAAACTAAAAATCTTAAATTCATGATAATTCATAACATTTTTGTCTTGAAAAATTGAACTGAGAAAACCGAAATTCAGACTGGCTAATTCCTAAATAGCAGCCTTTTAAAGTAGCTACCTGGTGTGGTTTCTACTTACCCTAATGTGAGACTTTCTTGTGCGGGTGGACCCAATGCAGATATCGAACACGGAATGAGAAATAAAAAAGGAAAGTAAATCACCATATTGTTTTATGCGGCGACTGGACTGCGCCTATTCCTTTAATTAAATATTTTTTGCATGATCTACACCTATATAAATATCTGTCTTTCTTTCTATACATAAGACTCATAAATATACACATAAAATTTGGTTGTGATCACGTCCTTATTCATAGTCTTATATTTCAAGTTTTGGAAAGATTTAAAGCTACAAAAATCATATATATTCATTAAGATCTAGTAGATAAGTAAATCTTTGTGGATTCTTTTTCTTCTCTATAATTAATTTCTTGGATTTGAAGTATAGAGATGGCTCCAGATCTATCTATGATTCTTCCTAGGGTTCTTATCGTCTCCAGACGAACTGTTCGTAAGAACAAGTTTGTTGATTTTGTTGGTAAGTCTCTCTTTCTTTTTTTCTCTCTTTTTTTTTTTTTTTTGCTATAAAAGATCTCCGAGAATTGTTTTCTGAATCCGAAAGACAGTAGTTGAGTTCTTTCAATGGCAAAAAAGTATAACATACTTGAATCTAATTGGTGGAGGAACTGGATCGAAGAAAAAAAAAGAGTGATTTTAGTTGTAAGATATCTAATGAAACCGTCCCTGGAATTGAGATGTTCAATCATATAATTAATTAAGAGGAGAAAATTGTAACTTCTTTGAAAATTTGTCATCTCCATGACTACTTACTTCTTGTGGTGATTCGATATTTTTAATTGAAAAACTTCAATATAATTTTATTTGCCTAAAATTCTGTGTAATATGCTTCAGATAATTTCTGATCACATGATCTTTGTTGTTGTTGAGAATTGATTTATTTGAAGGAGAGCCTTGGAGCAACGGTTAAGTTGTTTCCGTGTGATTTATAGGATACGGGTTTGAGCTGTAGAATCAGTCATTGATGGATAGGCTACCTACATTACACCCCGTTGTGGTGCGGGTAGGCCTTTCCCGGACCTTATGTCAAAGTGGGATACTTTGTGCATTGGGCGGACCTTTTTTATAGATAAACTCAATATTCTTTGCAAGATTAAGGTGAAATTTAGTATTCTAGCATATAGGATAGTAGATGTAAAAAAGAAAATGTCAAAATGTGTTTAAGAAGTAATTGAATTCTGTGTTTTCGATAACTTCTAGACTATTGAAATGTGTGATCAACTCATATAAATATTAAAATACCTAGAAATTATATAATTTTATTTACTTAGTTTTTCAGTAGACGTGTAGTCCTGATTCTTTTTCATGAACCAAATACGTGAATCTTCTTTTGATAATGGATGGTGCTGAGAATTGAACATGGGACGTTTGTTGAACTGTGTGATCGACTTATGTAGCATCTTTAAGTTATTAGAAACGGCACATTCTTATTTACTTAATTATATCTTCAATATCGGCAGGTGAATATCATTTAGATCTTATCGTGAGTTATGGAGCAGCGCCTGTTATAGTACCGCGAGTTAGTGGTGTACACATGCTATTAGAAAGCTTTCAACCAATTCATGGAGTTCTATTATGTGAAGGAGAAGACATTGATCCATCACTTTATGATGCTGAATTATCTGGATTTTCACAAGAAGAACTAGAAGAAATCAAGAAACTACATGTCAGTGACACGACAATTGATCGCGAAAAGGATTCAATTGAACTCGGACTAGCAAAACTTTGTCTTGAAAGAAATATACCTTATTTGGGAATTTGTAGAGGATCACAAGTTCTTAATGTTGCTTGTGGTGGTACACTTTATCAAGATATAGAGAAAGAATTATCCAAAAATTATGAAAAAGAAAAAGTTGTTCATATGAATTATGAAAATTATGATGGACATAGACATGTAGTGAAAATAGTGGAAAATACACCATTGGAGAAATGGTTTAAAGATTCATTAGAAGATGAGAAAATGGAGATTTGGGTAAATAGTTATCATCATCAAGGAGTTAAGAAATTAGCACAAAGATTTGTGCCAATGGCTTTTGCTAATGATGGATTAGTTGAAGGGTTTTATGATCCAGATGCTTATAATCCTGAAGAAGGAAAGTTTATTATGGGATTACAGTTTCATCCTGAACGTATGAGAGGTCAAGATTCTGGTGATTTTGATTATCCAGGATGTGCTATGGCTTACCAGGTAATTAATTCAACTCCAACTGCTAATGTCATATTAAGTGTAAAAAAATAGATTTTCTAAAGTTTGATGTATATTGGCTACTTTTGTATGTTTGTCGTTTAAGACGAGCCTTCGAGCAAACGGTAAAGTTGTCTATGTATGACCTAAAGGTCACGAGTTCAAGTGGTGGAAGCAGCCACTAATGCTTGCATTAGGGTAGGCTGTATACATCACACTCCTTGGGTCCACAAAATTGTGAGACAAAAAAGAGGCCGCACACAACTAGTGTCAGTTGTATGAGGCACAAAATTAAAGTTTTCTCCTTGGGGTGCAGCCCTTTCCCGGACCCTTCATGAATGCGGGATGCCTTGTGTATGGGTTGCCCTTTTTGTGTATATATGTCCTTTTGAATAAGTATAGAGGTCTCGTGTATGATTCTGTAAATGAAGAAACTCCTGATAGGAAATGTTTTAGCCTTTAATGAATCTGACACGGTGCGAATTTAAATTAGTCAGACTAGTAGATACAAGATATACCAAATGGTCATTAAATAAAACAAGTAGGAGTATTAAGAGTAGATAGAATTATATGGGCCAGTTGTCTATGTCCTTTTGCAAGAATACAGCTATTATGTCAACCAGACTTAAACCAACTCATGTGATTGATATAACTCATAAAGTGTTAGAGAAATTAATGAAAAGATAGTATAGAAAGTAGTAAGCTTTGAAACGTGAAAAGGCGCTGAGCTTAAAACAATATTGTGTGTGAATTATTTAGAGAAATACAGACAAGAGTTTTTAGGCTACATACAACAAAATCGAATGCATAGTTCAAATCAACATAACCATAAAAATTTATGGAAGTGAAACTATGTCAATTCTGGACAGACATCTTTTTAATTATTTGGTGTTTGGAACCAAATAATTAGGCAGGATATGACGCTTTCACCTTAGGACATGATACTTGATAGGAAAGTGCGGAGGTCGAGGATTAGGGTAGAAGATTAGAAGGTGACGGAAAGTTTGTCCTTTTCTTACCGGTAGTTTTAATAACACTCATGTTCCTGCATCTTCTTAATTAATTCTTTATTACGTCATGTGATCTAGTTTGCTTCTGTTACTGTATTTTCTGTTGTTATTATTTAGTACTACTTATTCTTCCCCCTCTCCCACCCCCTCCCCACTCCACCCCTCCCCGCCCGTGCCGAGGGTCTATTGGAAACAACATTTCTACCTTCACTAAGTAGGGGTAAGGTCTGTGTAAACACTACCTTCCCCAGACACCCACTTATGGAAATATACTGGGTTTGTTGGTGTTTGGAACCCATTGAAGGGGAGTCTTGGAGCAATAGTATAGTTGTCTCCGTGTGACCTATAGGTCACGGATTCGAGTAATGGAATCAGCCACTGGTGCTTGCATTAAGGTAGGCAGCCTACATCATATCCTCTTAGGGTGCGGCCCTTCCCCATACCGTGCATAAGCGCGGGATGCTTCGTGCACCGTGCTGCCTTTTGGTGTTCGGAACCTACTGGCCCGACCGAGTCGGTTTTCGCACTCTAAAATGTCTGCTATGGAGGATTTTAGCGCTCCTACCAAAGAGAACTCGGTTTTCAAGACTCAGAACCCGAAACTCCTGATTAAAAGAACCTTTATTTTACCACATCCTAACATAATTTGACGTCTTAAATGAATTTGATTGATGTGTAGGAATTTGTCAAAGCAGTAATAGCATATGAGAAGAAGCTTAATGGTTCTGGAAATGTGCCAAAAGGTGTAAAGTTTAATCATGAATTGGAAAGCAAGAGAAAGAGCATTGTTCGAAGTTTTTCAATAGCAAAGAACATGTATAGCACTGGACGTGGTAGAATTTCAGAAAAAGAGTCTGAGCTTGAACCAGGAGCTGAATTTCTTGAGGTAAATACAATTTACTATTTCTGTATAAACCATTCTTGAACTGATTAAGTAAATCTTAAATAGATTATTAATATGTTTATCATATATGACAAGAGTAACACACACACAAGTTTAGCTATTTTTTATTATAAGTATATTTTGACTTGTTGTAACACGTAACCTGTATTATTTTTCATATTACAAATTCCACTTTTTTTATGGTGATTACATGAGTTATCTTTTAGGTAACCCGATAGTATAAAAAATTATAATTTCAATCTGTAAAAGTTACACTTATATTACGAAATCAAAGACGATATAGTGAACGTAAAAAATATAATAAAATCATACTTATTATCGAAAATCTAAACTCACTGACTCTAAATTTTGAGCGGTTATTAACATGTTTGTCATAAATGACAAGAATGACACACACACAAAAGTTGAATGATTTTTTTTATTATCAGTACATTTTAACTTGTGTAACATTACCTGTATTATTTTTCATATTACAAATCCCACTCCTTTATGTTGATTACCTGAGTTATCTTTTAGGTAATTCGATAGTGTAAAAACATTATAATCTCAATTTGTAGAAGTTACACTTATTTTACGAAATCAAAGACGATATAGTGAATGTACACACATAATAAAATCATACTACTTATTATGAAAAATCTGAACCCACTGACTCTAAATTCTGAGCGATTTTGCGCATGGCATGTAGGCAAACACAGCACTGAGTCTACAACAAGAGAATAGGTTGAAGCAAATGGGAGCAACAGTGAGGAATGCATCAGCATATATGAATAGATTGAAAATGAATGAAGAAAGGGAGAAAATGGCTAGAGCTATTCTTGGCAAAATGTCAATTGAGCAACTTTCTGATATGGTTGGTTTTTACCATAAAATGGGACAGCTTTGTTCTGAGGCTTTAGACAAGAAGCTCAAGGAGAAGGAAGCTTGATAAATTTTCTCATCTACAATATAAATATGCCTTCCTTTTTTTTCTTTTTTTTTTTGCTGCAATATTTTCTCCATGTTTTGATTTTATGATGTGAAATCTAGTTTTGTTTTTAAGTGTATAATTGAAAGGGTTGTTAAAGAGTTTAATTGTTTGAAAAATGAAGAGGCTTTGAACAATTTGTGACTGAAGTTTGAACACTAGACGGAATTCTTTCACAATGCTCTACTTCCTTAGGGGTCGTTAGCTTGGAAACAAGTTATCCCATGATTAATTATCTCGGAAATAGCTATCATGTGATTAGTTATCACACCCTTCTAAAGAGATAAAAAAAATACTAAAATACCGAGTGTAGTTGATTTTATTCCAACCAAACATAAAATAAACTCAGCTAAAATTTAATCTTGAGATTAATTATCCTGTATCCCTCATATCAAACGAGCCCTTAGGGTGATGAGAAGAATGGCCATGAGAAGATGACAAGAGGCGGACCCAGGATTCAGTGATCGCGGGGGCATCGTGACATTCAATTTAAATTTATCACTGCTCAAAGAGATTTATACGGGGCCTAGGCTAATATTTGACTATTTCTTAAAAGAGAAATCTCACTTTATACCTATTAATTCTAAACTATTTACCCTTTAATGCCCAGACCCAAACTATTTACTACTCCTACCCATGGAGCTTAAACTATTTACCCGGTGACTCTACCTACGATTATCGTGCTGGGAAGGTAGACATAGGAAAGACTACAGCAAGCACGCATGCACTAAGCACGCCTACTGTATCTTTTTAGTGTTTTAGTCGATGTGAACTTCGAAAAATCCCTTTTTATCTAAACAAATCTTATTTAGGCCATCTACAACCTTGCCCCCATTTTTTGTCCCAAAATGGGGATTTCCCCATTTTGGGGACAACTTACTCCAACCATTCCCCCATTTTTTTCCCCAAACTTTTTTATATTCTTCTCTCTCTTCTATATTATATTATTATCTTTCATTTCAATTTTATTTTTTAATTTCCATTAAACAAATTCCATCTTTTATTTTTATTAATTTGTAATTTCCAAATTAACTTATAATAAAATTAACTTATAATTTTACATAAAAATAATAAATGCACGAAAATCAATTTATCAAAATTATACACCAAAGTTAAGATATAATATTAATACTATAAAGACATTACATAAACATAATTAGGTATATATAAAGAGATAAATTAAAAGATTAAATAATAAAATAATAATAAAAAATTGATGAATAGTAATGGGGGAGATGAATAGTGTATCCCCATATTTGAGGGAACACTATTCATCCCCCATTTTGGGGACAAAAATGGGGGAGGGTTGGAGCAAATTTCCCCCAAAAATTTTCCCCATTATGGGGGATGGGGGCAAGGTTGGAAATGCCCTTACCCAGTTACAATGAAATAGAAGTGGAAGAAACCTGGTAAGCAGAACAATACGAAATATGAATTGGGGAAGGAAGTCAGCACGAGAGGGTTGGTGCTTGGAGGTGTAAATGGAGTTCCATTCTTCCTCTATTTTCTTCTTCTTCTCTAAACCCATTAGTTTTCTAGAGTTAACACTTTGAATTCGTTTCCATTTCTATTATGGGGCTTAATTCTAAAATAATTTTCTCTTATTGTAGTATTCTGGGGTTCATCATCAATGGCAATTCACACTTGTTTCTCACTAATACCTTCTTCTTTCTCTTCACCCAAACTCGTTTTTGGATATTTATTGTACAAAAATTCAAATCCACCATTGTAGGACCTTGAAGCTTGAAACTCATAACTTGGTTTGTTTGAGTTTTTAATTATTTTGATCCGATCCTATATGGGTTTGTTTGGAAAGTTGATTGGAGGTTGCAGCTAAAGTTTTAGTCAATTTGGTGGAGATTTTGTAGTAGATTTTAGAGTTTGGGTTGAAATATAGTTGAACAAGAGAAAAAGACGAATTTGTATTGTATACTCAAATAGTATACAAATATACCATTTTGGTATAGAATTCATTCCAACTATATACCCTATTAGTATAGCTATATACTATATTAGTATCATATGCTAGTTGAATCATTTTTTGGTTGTATTAGCAGCATTTATTAGTACAATATTTAATTTTCTTTTAATAATAGTAATATAGTTCAATATCTTGAAATACTTTATTACATTAATATGTGGTACACTATTTTTTTATTTTTCTCTTTATGCATGTGCGTTATGTAATAGTAGTATAGTCATATAGTTGCCGGAAATTAATCAGTAAAACTTTATACCATGTTGGTATAGTTATATGCCATATTGGTATCATATGGTAGTTTGAACATTTTTTTGGTTGTTTTGGCTGCATTTTTAAGTGAATTCTATTATGAAATTGTTTATATGACGTGATTTGCAGTGCTGGAAAATTTTTGTGTTGATGGATATAGATTATGTGTATTATGTAATAGTTTTTATAATTATAAGCAATTGTTGGAACGACCCATACAACTATATACCATGTTAGTATATGGAATGAGCAAGTTGCTTTGCGAATATTTAGCTTGCAATGCGATCATGTAATTTTCTCATACTTTTATTGTATCCTTTAATGTTTTGGTACAGTAGTATAATCACAGATAGTTGTAGCAATATTTTGGAGCAATCATATACTCCGTTGGTATACATGTATACCATATTGGTATCATGTGGTACTAGAAGTCTTTTTTGCTACTTATATTTTTATTGCATTTTCCAATATTTTATTATCATTTCTATTCTAACTAGCATATATGGAGATTTAGTGGTCGTAGATTATATTGTCTTGCTCCATCACTGGTTGGTGTTACTGCCAATGGTAGAGTATGTACTAATATTTGTAGGGAAGGAGATCAAGGTTTGCATGACAATCACGTGGAATTAAAAAAGGAACAAGAAATAAAAAAATAAAAAATAAAAAATAAAGAAGGAGTCAAATTTGAGTGTGAAATAAGTTATGGTAAAAATAACAATAATACGATTTGGGCAAAAATAAATAAATAAAAGAGAAAAAATAAAAAAAAAAATAGGAAGAAAATGAGAAAAAAGAAAAGGAGAAAAGAAAAGTAAAAAGAAAAAAAAAGAAAAGAAGCATAAAAATAAAAAAGAATTGGAGAATAAAGAAAAAATTCCCCACAAAAATTACTATGGGTAGGAAATGTAATTAGTTTATGTGTAGAAAAATAAATGGGTAGATAAGGGTAAATAGTTTTATTTTTGTGGGTAACTGTGTCAAAACCCCTTCTTAAAAACATTTGCAAGTATATATAGATTTTTTGCGAAAGTCACTGGGTGCCGGTGACTCCTCTTGTTAAATGTGCGTCCGCCTCTGGATGACCCTTCTTTTCAATAAGAGGAGGCTATTTTTGCACACCAGATATTGATGCAGTTGCACAAAATTGCATTTCTAGGCCACTTTCTACTTTTTCTCCAGTTAGTCCGGTAGGTTAAATTTGTCTGTAGAAAAAACACATCCACCTACTACTTTTAAAGGCGAAATTCACCCACTGAGTTAAAGGGAGACAGAATTTAACAAGTATCCTATAAGAAGGCCATATTGTTCAAACAATACCTAAAATGCACTTCATTTGGTCCTTGTTCGAAATATAATCAGTAAATTTACTTTTAACAAAGTCACAATGAAGAAAAACAAGTCGTGTTACATAGGAATCCTATGATAGGATACAGAAAATTTAATTAGCTAGTGTTATTAACACTTCATTATATGCTGGAAAAAGATCTAGTCAAGTAGAATTTCGTCGAGTAATCTTCAATGGGCCTTTAGATTCATGCCATGTGTACAATAAGCTAACTCATGGTTGAGATGCATTTAAGATCTTATGCTTACGACAAGAACTAAAAATGGCAAACATGAATTAACAGCAGTCACTAACAATAACATCTAACCACGTCTCCTTGCTTTTAAACTACAAAAAATGCACCAGTTGAATTTTTCTATATTTTCAGATAGACCTTCGGCTCGAGGAGAACTCTTCTGGCTCTACTTATCACAATAAAAAGAATTAGTAATATACACAACCTCCTATGTAGTCTCCCACCTTAAGTTACTTCTAGATGCGAAGAGTAAAGAAAAACAGCATACATACCAAGAGAAGCATATATATACTTGAAAAGCTACCAAGTACATAATACCATATTGTCTTCCATACGACTCTAATTGATAGCATAGCTAAATTTGAATAGGATGAATCAGCCTCAGGAAAAGTAAGTCCCCTTGCCTTGATTGAATTTGGCTTCGCTGCGCCCTGAGGTCTTGTCAAAGCCTCTTCAATCATTGAATCATTGTTCAGCGCTTTCTCCCGCATGCCTCTGTGGTCAATGGGAGCAGCAAAAGATCAAACCCCACCCCACTCGGCTCAAGCCGAGGAGTTCCAGTTCTTAAGATTTGGAAATCCTAGTGCGCTATTGCACCTGCTAGAAAGAACAGTTGAACTGCCATTGGCCCGGGTTCAGCCTTTACTTTGAATTAGGTGGCTGATTTTTTCTTTTACCATGTCAGCCACACTCTCATTTAGTCGATCTTGATAGTCCGAATACGAGAAGTGTCTTAATCTAGACACTCTCCAAGTTGATAGGATCCAAATGAAAAAAGGAAATAAAATGGTAGGATTTGCCATCTTTCTTATTAAATAATTAAAAACCAATTGATCGGGAAAGGTGTTGTTCATGGTGGTAAGCGAGGGGAGATTGAGTAAAGGGATAATGCCGCTTTTTACTAATATATTTCAATCGCTTCATCAACAGGCAAACGCTGGCGAATGCTTTAATTATTCCAGAAACCTGGTATTCAGTTTCAAACTGATACTGGAGAAAAAACGCCTTCGACTGTTAACCAGCACCAAGAATACATCCCAACAATCAATAGCTTAGTTTTAGCTCCAGGAACATACCAGAAAGAAAAGCAAGCAGGAAATAAGAGACACTGAACTGCCCAGAAAACCGAAAAAGAATAAACATGGGAGAGAATTATACCTAAATAGTCTATTAACTATTAGTCTATTATTACTACCAAATAAAGTCATTAAAAAGATAATGTACATCACATGGGGAAGCTACATTCACCACCATAGTAGCTCTATCAAAATCCGCTAGATGCTAATATAAATAACACGCCTACAAATTCAGGGCAGTCAAAAACAGCCTGCT